CAACTATATCCAGTTATTTTTGATAAACTCTTCTACTTAATGAAACTAGACTATATACAAAGCTTGCATTCTGATACTTAAAAAATATAAATATCAAGTTCCTATAATCTATTCAAGCTCTGATATATAAACTGAATTTTAAGTTCACTGCAGATGACAAAATCTGTTCAGATTTTCTGGCAGAAAAGTAAAGGACTATATTTTCAATAATCTAAGTAGGTTAGTCTTAAGAAATAATAAAAGAAGATATTTATGTAGTTAAAAAACTTTTTAATATATGAAAAATTCCAATTTTTATTGTGTCACATTTTCTTACCAAAATTGATCATTTTCATAATACAATTTTTTTAAAAAAAATCTGCATGTGTAATGACTAAGCAAATGTATTTTCTAGGAAGCCCATTATTTTGTTTACATCTGTTGTATTCTCTGTTCTATTATTCAAAATTGTTAACAGCAAGATGTCTTTCCAATTTCACTATGCAAATATTTTTGAAGTTTCCCTGTAGGGTAACACAAATCAATTCTATTACCATAGTTAAAAGGATATATGTCTTACCAACCTCACTATGGTGATGGTAAATCTAAACTGTAATGTTTGGGTAATTAATGCACATGCATTTTTCCTGTTCAAAATGTGCTAGTCTCTTGAGTAAGAAAATTTAAACAGAAATAGGTGGCATTTTCGTATAAAATGTGAAGTTAGGTGAGTTAATTACTACTTAAAATATTAATCCAATGGTAATTTATCAAAGGATGAATTTCATTTCCAACAAAAATGCACCATTGAAAATCACTTCCATGCTATAAAAAAACTAAATGCGAAAATGACATTGCAAAACATCCTGTAAAATTTGTTTAAATTTATGAATACATCTATTTTCTTGGCTACTGGACATGATGATTCATAACTGAATACATCCCTTGCTATAGAATTTTTAATTACAAAGAAAACATAACATTCTAAGCCAATGAAACCTAAAAATGAGAAAAATAAATTGTTGAAACATCACAGATGATGGTAGAAGAGGATAACAAAGAATAAGAAAAACAGGAAATTTAGATTTAACAAATTTGTTTTCTCAGTCTTAACTATGGTCAAATTACCAATGGAATATATTTCCATTTTTAATTTAATGCAGATACCATGGAGAATAAAACATTGTTAACAACACTATCCATTCCTGCACAAGATTACTCTTAAATTTGAGTAGCATGTTGCAGTATTCAAATCACTTTCTTTCACTATTGTTTTTATTGTAAAGGATTATTTCATATTGTCTACCTGTCTTATAGAGATCCATCAGGCTAAGTAGAAACTTCTGATGGGCTTGAAGATTACTCTTATTCATTCACAAAACTGTGAATGTGTACAAAGAATGTTTGATGTTCAAATGCATACCCTGTGAAATATAAAATCATAGTTGTACCAAGTAAAGTGCTTAACAGTCTGATTGGTTACAGTTTTAATGGATGTATCATTAGGTTTTTAAATACCTATTTCATTTAAAATATGAGGTTCAAAACAATCAGGTCTGGTTTTGAGTAAATTAAAGATTCATGGTTATTAATACATTAATGAACCTGCTGACAGGCTACTTAACACTCAATTCTAGGGCTGGCAGCCACAGCATATGTGCCAAGTACAGACGGCCAGCTCAGAGAGGCATTTCACTTCATTGTAGGTGCTACTGCCTCCTGCTACCCAGTTCCTGAAGTCTGGCTAGGGAACTTGGGCACAGGCAGGTCTGTGCAGTTTAGCAATAGCAGTCCTTTGTGGCTAAGAAAAAAAAGTAAAGAATAAAGAAGGAAAGAAAGAAGAAAGTAAAGACCTGATTGCAAGTCAAACTAAAAGGGAAGAGAATATATGCAGGGCTTCAGCTCTAGAAAGGGCTACTTTCCCAAAGTAATAAAGTCTGTTGTTGAATTAGGGCCCTGGATTCAGCTGGAAAGATTGTGAGGTGAGCTGCAGGGAGATATGTAGAGGGCAAAAACCTTCCAGCTGCCTCCCAACGAAGATTTAAGGGACCCCAAAACAAAACTGCCCCACAATTGCCCTGGAATTCCCTTCCCAGACCCTTCCCATGCTACTTCTAAATCCCTGTACTGCTAGATCCCTGTGATGATCACTCTGCCCTGAGGTCCTCTCTGGCCATCGCAGCAACTAGAACACAATTTAAGTAATGTAACTGCTTTTGAATCTTCTCCTTCCAGGTAAGCAAAACCCACAACCAACAGCAATCCTTGAAAGCTATATATTTCTCTTTGGTGTGAATTTGATGACTTGATCAAAGATATTGTCTAAAGCATGATTTTTTGGTATTTTAGAAGAAAATCATTAACTGCAATGTTCTGGAGAAAGGAAAGTCTTAACTACTCCTAGTTCACTCCAGGTTCAGTCTTCCTCTACTCTAGTCCTCTACTCTAGTTTATCTCCATCACACAGCTCTAGTGGTTTAAACAGTGGCCCTTAACCATGGGCTACTTGAAGCAATGTCTGCTGATATTTTTTTGATTTTTGCAACTGAGTGGGGAGGGTGCTTCTGCCATTTTGTGGGCAAAGACCAGGGCTCCCACTGAACATCCTGAAGGGCAGTGGACAGCCCCCACAATGAAGGATCACCCAGCCCTACCTGTTATTATGGCCGAGGTTGAGAAATCCTGTGTTGAGTATCATCTATTACAACAGTGTTATGTCTCCAACCCATAGGAACCTTCGCCTTTGGCCAAGAGAAACCCTGGGCCTCAGTAAATCTTAGTCTCAATGATCACAGCTTTAACACAAGGAATTCCTCTAGAAGTAGAGGAACATAGGACTGGGGTATGAGCGGAATAATAATTTCATCCCGGCTTCCAATTTATTCTCCTTTACATTCTTATTCTTTACCAACAATACCAAAACCATCTGCTAAATGAACACCACTAAAGTGATGAAAAAACATTCTTCATTACTCTTGTCACAATTTATGCTTTCTCAATAACAAAAGTTGGTTTGCACAAAAACTTAGGAAACTAGTTGTTGCTTTTTAGGTTTTTGACTCTGCCTTTCATAATACAATATTTGCTCAAAGAGAACGCTAACTGGGCATGCTGGTAATCTCCAAAATGGGAAGCTGAGGTAGGAGTACAAATTCAAGCCCAGCTTGGACAACTTAATGACTTAGAAAAACCAAGACCCAAGCCAGTAGTGATGGCTCACACCTGTAATCCCAGCACTCGGGAAGCTGATGTGGGAGGATGGCTGCGAGTTCGAGACCAGCCTGGGTTACAAAGTGAGTTTAAGGCCAGTGAACTACATAGCGAGACCCTGTCTCAAAAAAAAAAAAAAAAAAAAATCAAGACTCTCTCTCAAAATAAGGAATAAAATAAAAAGAGTGGGGTTATAGCTCAGTATGAAGGCCCTGGGTTTGATCCCCAGTACCAAAAAAAAAAAGTTATTTCTAACTTTATAACCATTAGGCCACTCAAGATTAATGAGAAAGAAAAAAATGGCTTGGAAATATTTTTTGGCAGTTCTAATTATTTCAAAATGAACAGTTCTAAAATCTAATTTATTTTTTAAAAACTTCATTTTTCAATTTTTAAAAAGAAACACAAAGATTATGCCCAAACTAGAAAATAAAAATGTGTTCATGGACAACTATGTTATGTAGGAACTGTCTCAGTTTGGACCTCAAACATAGTTTGAAACTATTTCTTTACACTATTACATAAAGACCATATTTACAAGCTATCAGGTAAGCAGCTCTTAGATTTTGTTAATCGATAGTGGACATTACATTAGTGACAGAGAAAACAACATAAACTAGATGTAGATGAATGAAGTGATACACAAAAGGAAAGATAACAGGTTACAAGACTAAGTAAAGCTAAAATAACTAAACCAAAAAGAACTCCAATTTCAAGAATTTTTCTACTGAGTGATGAATAATGTTAAAATTAAGAAATGCTGTTGTAATTCTATTACCTGCTTAAAATGTAAAATTTAAAATTATTTAGAATCTTTTCATATACATGTATAAATATATTTTAATGTATTCTATTATAATTATACTTATGTAGATCTCTATAGAGGCTCTTTTCTTGAATGAGCTATATAATTCAATACAATGTTGGTCTCTAAAGAGAATAAATTATATTCTACATTGTACATTGTACTTTTATATCATGTATATGTATAATATTAAAATATTCTGAGTTCATGATTAAAATTAGATTTTAAAAACTTTTTATAAATGGTCAGAGCATATAAAATACTGAAATCCTTATTGAAGGTATATAAAACTAATAAATTTAAATTTCATAAATGGCCCCATAATAATCTGATTTTTAGAAAATAAACCATTAAATACCCTTACATGAACTATTCAACTCCTGTAATCCTGTAACTTTCCATATATAAGAAATATGTCATTCAATTCACAAGGTAATCTACACAAAGCAATCACTAAGAATCATTTTGCAAACCACGGGAGGTTAATAATGAAACACCCTTCAATTCACATGATTTTCCAATAATTGCTATTATTTTTACTTGTTATGAGTCCAAATATCTTTCCCTATGCTTGTTGCCTTCTATTAAGTACAAAAGTCTAGAGAATAAGAATTTTTATATGAAACAGTCATTGGCCCAGCAGATTTAAAATGTCAGCTTATTCTTTGGCACACTTATTTTTGGAAGAGTATCTTTCAAAAGGAATACTCTGTCCTGAATCCTCTGTACACAAAGAACTACCAAAGATGTTATGCCAGTAATTATTTCTTGCTTTGAGACTATCATCTAAATGGTCCTTTCTTTTGAGTTCCAGATTGTAAAGACAGTAAATAAATTTTAGAAGGCCTGTGTCTCCATTTTTCTGTCTTACCTTTGACATGAACAGAAGAATGCAAAATGATTTTGTAGGTGTGCAGTTTGACTTAATCTCCAAAAGGAAGTTGGAAATGCACTCAAAATTAAATGGCAATCGTCTTATTATACAGTCCCACATACAACAGAACAATTATTAAGTTACTTAAATTTCATGGGATCAATTTTTATTTACAATATCCACATGGCTAAGAAAAGGTCCAATTTTCAACAAATTTATCTACTCTATCGCCTGCCAGACAGACCCACAGCATAACTGATGTCACATGCAGATGTGCTTTTCTATATGCTATTATTACTTAATATATGTTACTTTCACAGCTAGAAGTAAAAAAGCATAGTCATTGCTTGTTAAGCACTAAAGACTTACATTCAGGTAAGCAATAGTCCTCACACCACTGTTAGTAACATGTGCTCAGTAAATGTCTGTTAAATAATGAATCAATTTCACCTGTGTTTTCCAACTTCCATTGCAACCACATTCTTAATAAAGGAACAATCTCAGGCCTTAGGGTAACACCTATATTCCCAATGCATCAATAAACTTTCTTTTTTTCTACTTAAAAAAAATTTTTTTTGCTGCCTTTGCAATTTTGCACAATTATCACAATCAGCCAACCACACATTTTCAGAACTCTTGTAAACTTAGTCTCACATGATCTTGCAAAGTTCATTTTAAAGAAAGTTTAGTCAACTGAACAAAAGAGAATATAAACAGGTATTCTCTGCAATTTATCAAACAGATGAACACTCAACAATTCCAAAAGCAATAAGGCCATTTTGTTTTTCTTCTCTAAGCCAGTTAACTATTTGTTTCTCAAGACAAATAATTTCACTAATTAAGGCTTTAGACCTTGTCATCCCTTTATTATTTTCTCCTCTTTATGTAAAATAGTTCAGTTCTAATAAATGTTAACCAGTATTAGAATGAACTATAAAATAATTCTGATTGTCTTAGATCTGGTGAGTTCATAATACAGGACATTTTAAAAATACATTACCCCAAAATAAATATAATCTTTAAAGTTCAACACTTTAACAAAATCAAGTAGTAGTAATCCAAATTAATAGTAGAAATAAGCTTAAAATGGAAGCCAAGATAAAAATATTACAAAGAGTTTCATCACACTGTGGTTAGCAGTAGGTTTTCACTATGGAGCTCTCTATGGAGATGACAGATCTCAAACTATCAGTCATAAGTGTTTGTGACTTTTAAAGTAAAACTGAAATTCAGAGCAACATATAAGAATATTCTTTTACCAAATGGACAAACTAAACTCAAAAAAACACAATTATTTCATTGTATGTGCATTTTAAAAAGCAATGAATGCTAGACAAAAACATATCACACTCAATAATTACTCAGCTTCTATTATTATTATTGTAAAGGCAAGCAAATCAAGTACAGAAAATATTAAAAATGAAAAAGATCTGAGTAATGTCCTTTCTCCATACTCAAACATGTCACTACTCTAACTTCTAAAACATAGCCACTACTCCCTCAGCCTATGAACTTGTTGTCCTCAACTCTTGAAACTGTAAATAAGGAATATGATTGAGCGATTCCACTATTTGTTATTAGTTTTTAACTCACTAAAATTTTGGAAGGTCCCCAAAGTACCAATAAAATCTAGATTTGTTAACACAGCGTTGGAAATTTCCTTATATATTAGCATAAATAAGAAAACAAGAAGTATGGTAGTTTTGTGGTATGCATTTTTCTAAGAATAGACACCAGCAGGACTACATGACACTGCACTATCTTGTGCCTGGAAATCTAAGACATATACATGTGCTTAGTATAACCTGACAACTTAAATTTTGCAACACATTGTATTTCCATTAAAAACTAAAACATTCCATTTTTAAGTTCTAAGAGAAGACAACTTAAAGGTTTTCCCTTTTGTCAAAGACACTACTTTCAAAAGTGTTTTTTTTTTTTTTCAGGCTTTGGGGCTGGTATGTTGGTTCTAATCAATGAAGCTATGCTTCTGTTTACAATTGTTTTCTCATTTCTAGCCAATTCTGAATTAACACTGAAACCAGACAAATTATTCATATATTTCATATATGAAAAGGATCAACTGATTATGTCCCTTTTACCTGTAAATTTCTACGGAGATTTTAAAAAAATTAAACCAAAGGCCTCACACATGCTAAACAGTTTCCACCACTTAGCTACCTCCCAGCCCTTACGGAGATTATTCCATGACTGTGCAGAACGTCCTCTGAAATGTAGAAATGCTTTTTAAAGAGCTGGGTGTGGTGGCTCATGCATGTAAATTCCAGCACTCAGGAGGCTGAGGCAGAAGGATCATTTGGGAGTTCAAGACCAACCTGCGCTACAAAGTGAGCTCAAGGCCAGCCCAAACTCCATAGCGAGATCCTGTCTCAAAAAAACTACAAAAAGAAAGAAAAAAAGAAAGAAAGAAAGAAAAAAAAACCTGAAAAGAAAAGGAATGGGTCTTAAGTCTGTGTCCAAACACCTGGGTAGCTCTCAGTACTGCACTCATTTGGAAGTTTGGACCAAATCATTGGTTCTCTGCATATGGTCTCCAGGCCAGCAACAGCACCATCACCTGAAAATTTTCTAGAAATGGAAATTACAAGATTTGATCCTTGATCCAATGAATAAGAAACTGAGGATGACCCAGCAACATGTGTATTGAAATTCAGGTAACTTTGATGTGTGACCAATTTTTAGAACCTCTGAACTAGATGATCCCTAGTCTTCTCATCAAAATCCCACTGTGATTAGATCAAACACTTCACTTACAATGAGCCCCATGTTCAACTGAATGCTTTCAACCATCTCAATAGCCTAAATAAAATGCTATAACCTAGCATTTTAAATAAAATGCTATAAAACTAGCACCTCTGTTAGTACATTTAGAAGTTTGCATTTTCATAGACAAAATTTAAATCAGCAAACCTTTTATAATTAAGCAGACACCGTGACAAATGTTTGATATCATATTAACTAATAGTGGTAATTTCCACATTAAATCTTGCTTCCTTTCACATTTATAATGTAGAAATTTATCCTGGCTGTTATAAAAAGTAAGTATGCTTTTTGACAGCTAAGGTGCAGACATTTTGCATCTATTTCACACAATCAGTTACTACAAAGCTTTTTTTTTTCATTTTCTCTCCTTGCTGTGACAAATATGGGGAGACCATTCAAAAGGCTGGGCTATAACAGAACTACATTGTTCAAATAGATGAGGCATTTTAGGATTCCATCTACAGGAAATATTTAACTCATCAGAAAACGAAAGAATTCTAATCTCAAACAGAGCTGGTTCCAAATGTGATTTAATGAAGTCTATTTCAACAGTTAACAACATGGAAATGTTTTATCTAAGAACCACAACTCCCCAAGATGAAAGGGTTAGACTTGAGGTGATACCTTAACTTTCCTGAGGCTACTACAAAAGGAGAAAAAAAATAATCCTTTGAAATGACACAAAACCTGGATTAACTGTCTTGACCAAAAGGAAAGGCTGTTAAAAAAACAGCAGGGGTCAACTTTAATAGTCAAGTTTTGCTCCCCAAGAAGGCTCTTTTCCCACCCAATTTCTGTTTTGACAGGTGATTGCCTTACAACAAAAGCCCTCCCTCCTAAATTCACTTCTTTTCACACTCTCCCTCAGCCCAACCTCTCCACTGAAACAAATGCTCCTATCTCTTCCCACCACAATACAGGAAGAAGGCTTCTTCTAGCCAAATCAACTGACATTTTTAAAAACATTTTTTCTTAAATGAAATGAATGTCCCTAGGCTTCAATTTTTGTCAAGAAATTAACAGAGAAAGACCCCCAACTTTGGAACTACTATTTTCTTGCCCCAGATACACAAGAAATTGCTGTAATTAAGAATCAGAAAAGCATGTTTTATAGTAGTTAATAAAGACATATTAAAATCTGCACCACCATCCTATACTTACAAAGAACTTAGTCCTCCTCCAAGTGACTAAATCTTGTATGTAGCTGATTAATGCATACAGCAATCTATTTCACTTCCAATTACCCACTTTCAAATATTTCCTGTCAGGTAGATATACATTTCTTAAATTAACTGTATACTTGTAAGCATTTTTGTTAAAAGGCTTCCAAGTAATAAAAAGTAAGTCAACAAACACCTTTTCAAAGAAATCCTTCAGACAGTACTTGAGACAGCTTCTGAATTTTCAACATTTTAGATGTACTTAAGCTACTATATTCACTCAAATGCCAGAATGAATCTTTACAAAAGGCATATATTTGAGAAATTTTCCTCAATTTCTGTATTTAGAATACTTATGCTGTTTCCTTCCAATTATGTTTAAATGTGAATTCAGAATGGCAAAAATGGCACTAGGATCATTACAGGCAAAACTGGTCATTCTCACACTGGAATACTGAAATGCCTCCTGGGAAAAATAAACATATGTTAAGGCAAGATATGTTAATGCAGCTCAAAGAAACTGTGATTTGTAATGTCTTTTGGCTTTGCCAAGGGAATAAATCCCTTTGTCAGACTTCACTTACACTTTATAAACCTAAGCTATATCAAGTACTCTTATATATAAACAACTCAAGGAGGCTGAGGCAGGAGAATCCCAAGTTCCAGCCCAGCTGAGCAACTTAGGAATTTAGTGAGACCCTGTCTCAAGCTGAAAAATAAAAAAATGGGCTGGGGATGTAGCTCAGTTTGAAGGTCCTGGGTTTAGTACCCAGTACTGGAAACACACACACACACACACACACACACACACACACACACACACACACACAGATTTTCATCTTACTTCATACTAAAGACATCTTTAAGAAAAATAAATATAAAAGCTCACACTGCCTCCTACTGTTAGGAGGAGAGTTTGTAAGGTCAAATTACGGTCCATAAACAGCAGTTAAGTCTTACCTTTTTTTAAAAAATAATGTAACCATGTTTCCATATGAAAACCTTGAAAGGGTTGGAATATTGTCTTATAATCTACACTGCAAAATACACTACAAGGTATGACTTTAAGGATTAAAACTATGCTTCCCATACTGTATTCTTGATGTGACACACACACACAACCGGAAAAAAAAAAAAAAAAGTGCCACCCTGCTTTGCCAGATGGATGGTTACTTTCCTAGATCTAAGGCAGTATTAGAAGTTGGTTTCTCCCTTTCCCCACTTACAGTGCAATAAACTGCTCCATGTCAGCAGAGCAGAATCAAAATGCACCTTCTCATCTTGTGATCAGACTGCACAGCCATATTCTGGGCTCCTAGACACTAAGGATTCTCCATATTTAAGAATTTGGAAATGTCACTCAACCTGGCAGCAAGCTACTTCTTCAAAATCTGACAACTCTCTGAGAACACCATTGACGTGCCCCTGTCCACCTCAGCCATGACACTATTATTACTGACACTGTAAACCACTGCATATGAAATATGGAAACACAAACAATAGTTCTGGGGTTGTTTCTTTAAAAATGGCATTTGTATTAAAAGTCTTAAAATGGAAAGACTGATTAAAAGGAGTGGAATTAAAAAATTACAATTAGAATTCTCTTGATATATCACAATGGTGAAATTTTGCTCTTTGCTTCTGGAGGAACCTTTGAGAGAGAATCAAAACATTTAAAAAGTAATATAAAAGGGGAACTAAATACCTGAAATTTGAACAAAACGAAGGTCTAAAAAAAAGCCCAGAATACTGCACGACATGGACATTTTAAAATGCTGAAAATGATAAAGAAACTCACTGCACAGCAGACCCTATTGTCCGGGCTCCTTCAGGAAGATTACCGAAAGGAATCTTCGGGTAGTGTGGGGGACAGCAAATTGTGGGACATGGCGGGAAGTTCACAGGTTGGCACCGGCTGGAACAGCTGAGTTTTGAAGGCACTCTGCAGACCCAGGGGTGCTGGGGGCCCTGAATCACATTTACAAAGTCTTTGTATTGTATTTTTAAAAGCTAATCTTTAAAATTCTGTTACTACCAACTAAAAGGGAAAAAAAAAAAAAAACAAAACCTAAACTTAAAACACAGGCACACACACACAATAGTACACACAGAATTGTGCAGATCTGTAACATTTTTTTTCACAGCTGATAAAAAAAAATACTACCATTTTCCCCCAGACTCCCCTTTGATACAGTAGGTAAACAAAATAGATTTTTTTTTTTCCACAAATATCAGCAGACACTTTCTGGCACCCCACACTGTATTGGCATCAGTGTTAACAGTCCCAGTTCAGATGTGCAATACTTCAGATTGGATACACTGTAACAAGAATCCAACTTTGCATAGACATCCTCAGAATCCCAGTCAGTCACAGGGTTGCCCTTCCAAGCCGGTAGAAAAGAAACCCGATTTTAATTTCCAGCTACTCCTGGAAAATAAGGGAAAAAACCCCGAAAGTTTCTTCCTCTTCCTGCTCCTTCATATGCTTTTCCCGGACTTCCTTCCATGTATTTAAAACTTAGAAATACAAAAACAGTTGTTGACAACAAAAGATGGAGGGAGGATTCCCCTCTTTCCACCTCGTTCCCTTCCATTTCCCCCACCTCCCCAACCCCCTCTTTTTCCAAGCTGAAACTTTTTGCTTGCCGGGTGTCAAGCTGCCAATACAACCCCCTAACGGCTACTTAAATGGGGAAATATGCATCAACCAAAAATCAATGAGAAACGTACATGCTGCAAAGAGCCACATTTCCACCAGGGTCTCAGATGGACCGGACAAGCCCCTCAGACAAGGGGTAAAGAAGGCAGGGGACGCTGGCTGAGGAAGCCAGTAGGGCTCCCGGGACACCCCGACCAATGCAAAGTCGTCTCCAATCTCAAAGCAAGAACAGAAATCACATTTAGAGTCGGATGCGTTTGGCTTTTGTGCGCAGAGCGTGGCCAGCGCTCGGCGGCCACGGGCGCCTCAGAGGATCACGCAGGCCGAGCAGCAGCCCTCGTCGCCGTTGGGCTGCGCCGCATAGTTCATCTGCCGCACGATCTCGGCGAACAGCTCATCCACTGAGGCTTTGTTTTTGGCGGATGTCTCCATGAAGGGGCAGCTCCACTCCTCGGCCAGGGCCTTGCCCTCGCCGTAGGAGACCTCGCGCTCGCCCTCCAGGTCCACCTTGTTCCCCACCAGGATCATGGGCACGCGCTCGTACCGCTTCACACGGATGATCTGGTCCCGCATGGGCTTGATATCCTGGAAGCTCTGCTGGTTCACGAGGCTGTAGACGAGGATGAAGCCCTGGCCATTCTTGATGTACAGGTCCCGCATGGACGCAAACTGCTCGGTGCCGGCCGTGTCCAGGATCTCCAGGACCGACGGCGAAGAGTCCACCTCGATCTCTTTGCGGTAGAAGTCCTCGATGGTCGGGTCGTACTTCTCGATGAAGGAGCCCGTCACGAACTGCACGGTGAGCGCGGACTTGCCCACGCCGCCCGAGCCCAGCACCACCACTTTGTACTCTCTCATGGCTCCGTCAGCGCTCTCCCCACGCCTGCCGCGGCCCCGTCGGGGCTGCGCGCCTGGGAAGGCTGGACTCGCTGGCTGGACTGCTGCCCTTCCTCACTCGGCAGGAGAAACCCAGGACCGGGTGGCCCAGGAGCGCGGAGTGCAGCGATCACCACGCGGGACCCGGCGAGGGCGGGCGAGCTGGCCGGAGGCGGAGGCGGGCTCCCGGGGAGCGGGTCTGGGGCCCCGCAGCAGTTCGCGGTGCAAGTCCCGGCGGCGGATCCGGAGGGAGGACAATGCCGGCTGCCTGCGGGAGGCGACGGCTGGGGCTCCTACCGCGGCAGCCCAGGAGGTCGGGAGGCGGAGGCGGCGCGCTGCGGAGGCGGCAGCTAATTGCGCGTCGGGCCGGGCCACGCGTGGCATGGATCCCCGCGGATCGTGCGCCCACCTCCTCGGCCCATCGCACTCTCGCCTGCAGCCTCCGCGGGGCTAGGGCTTCCTACTCGCCGCGCGCAGCCCGGCCCTCCCGTCCCCTCCCCGCCCGCCGGGGCGAGCATGCCCAGTGCGCCGCGGCCGCGCCCCGCCCGAACTTCCGCTCCTGGTTTTCTGCTGGGTCGGGAGGGGGCGGGACGGGAGGCAGGGCTCGCGATTTGAGTCCGTAGAAGCGCAGTGCGGAGTGCGCGGAGTCTAGTGCTCGATAAGGTAATGCGTGTGCACCGGGAGTTGGGACGGCTCAGAGGATGGGGTGCGTGCTGAGCGCGGAGGCGCCCCGGGAAGGAGCGGTCATCAGATCGTGGACGCTGGGCCGAGCTCCGGCGGTGTGTGTCTGCGGGCTGCCGAGCTCAGGGGCACGTGGGTGCCGCAAAACGCGCCCGCTCCCACGCTCTAAACCTCCGGCGAAGCGGTGCTCCGCCCCAGCTGGCCGGCTCTTCTGCTTTGCAACCCCGGGACAAAGGAAACCGGAGGGACGCTGCCTGTTACACTTGTCCGGAGGAGGGATGGAGTGTCCCTTGGTGCCCGCCCGCTCTCCAATCGGGCGGGTCCCGTCCTCCGCCCCGCGAGGCTCTGGCCAAAACCCGGAAAGGCGGACGGCTTCTAAATCCCGGAGTCTCGGGGTACCCGCAGTCTGGGAATGCTCAAGCGGCAGAGCAGTTTTTCGGGCTTCGAAGTAGGAAGCTTTTGCACCACACACCCACACTGTGTCTCAAATTACCTCTTCCCAGACTCTGAACTCATTGGTCCCAGGGCGCGAGTCTCACACCCCCAAGTGTCTCTCCATTGGCTGTAGCCAAGGTTTTGTCAGTTTGGGCTGCTTCATTGGCTGAAAAGTAGCCTCCGCTCAGGATTGGTTATTTATAGAGATTGAGTTGGGAGGCAAAGGCACAGCTGTTCTTTCTCCGCTGCTCCCCCGCCCCCTTCCTCCCACTTCCCCAACCCAGTCGTTTTGAAGCTAAGAGTGAAAAAAAGAAGAGGAATTTAGGCGGAGAACTCAGAACTAAATATAGTCCTTTGTTGGTGCTTTAGAGAGAGTCTGACTTATCAGTGCCCAGTCACGACTGTCCCCTAAAGGGAGCAGCTCGGGCTGATGCGTTCTTGGTCTGTAAGAAACGAAGTTTACACGGGAATCTTTCTTTTTCTTTTTCTTTTTCTCTTTCTTTCTTTTCTTTTTCTTTTTTGGCAAGGGTGGGGGGAGGGCACCAGATGAGAGATGAGCCACTTGGCACTCCTTTCACCTGGAGAAGTGAGGGGCAATGCCCAGGCTTGCCTTTTCAGGAATAGTCTATGCTGCTGGGGCGGGTAGTCCGTGGGTTTGGCTTGCATTTGCAGGAGGTGCAAGGGAGCTGCCTCGACATGTTCTGATTCTCCCCTGTTCCCCACTAGGAGAGATGTCAAGACGTGTCTGCAGAAGGCGGCTGCAGAAGGCGCTGGCAGCGTGAGCACCTAGTGGGTGGGAAAGAATCAAGCGTCCACCTGGCTCTCTTACCTGCCGTTTGCTTCTGTTAATGCAGCCCTTGTCTTCATCCGAGAGACAAGGGACAGACCCTGAGATGTGCTGACACTGCATTTCAGTTCCTAGTCCCACCGTGACTCATGGCCACGTTTCCCATTACCATCTCCAAACCTCTGATTACCACCACAGCAGGAAGTGACCTAGGAGGAGGTACTGGCTGGACTAGGGCTGCAGCCTCCTTGGGCACGGTAGGGGATTCTCACCCTTGTGCCTTTTAGAGCAGCGAGGGTTTCACCTTGACTATCAGAGTGCTTGGATATCATTATGCTTACATAATTCTCTGGGAAAATCTCCCGGAGATAAATCCTTTTGTAGCTGGATAGAACACGGCCAATCTTACCGTGTTTAATGTCTACCAATTAATATACTTTTTACAGATAGGACACTGAAGCCCTAAAATGTTTGGTAACTTGCTTGAGATTCCCCAGTTAGGAAGTGCCAAAGCTTAGGTTCCAAAAGGAGTGTTTGGCTTCGGAACCTGCTCTCAACAGTAACTGATCCAACCTGCTTATAAGAAAATTCCATTTTTACTCATTCTTAGGTTAAACCTAGAGGCAGTATGATCAGACTGGCTCTTAGGCCCATTCGAGAGGAACCTGTGCCTATCAGGAGCCTCTGGCTCTCCCCTGACGGTGCCCCTCCCACACAGCAAGGTGATGACCATCTAGATGCTGAGCCCTCTTCTAGACCAGAGCCCAGATATTCTGAACTCTAGAAAGCTTGTCCCAAACCATGGTGCTAATTTCACTTTCAGATCTGTGTGGGACTCTGAATTCAACCCTGTGTGCAAGAAATGGCTTCTTATTGGGGTGTGCACGCTTGTGTGTTTTAGTGCAAGAAGTGTCAGTGAGGTCAGTTTTATCTTTCCTTATACATTCTAGAGTGCCTTATGGACATCCAAGAATTCCTTATTCTCCTTGGAGATCCAGTTCTTGTGGAGAGCTGTTTCTATCATAAGGTGGAAGGATAGATCATATTATCACAGTTTCTTATCTTGATTTATAACTTAAGTACTGAGATAATGCTATGTGGGCCTGCATGTGTACTCTTACCACAAAGGTGTGGGTTCTGAGTACGATACAGCAAAAATAATGCTTTATCCTTATAGGTCTGGTGTCTAATCTTGAGCATTGTATATTAATTATTACCTTGGGCCTTGGACAAGTTCCTTAAGGTTTCTGAACTTAGTTTTCCTACCTTTAAACTTGTGATAATAGAAGTTGCCTTACTTACCTAGCTGTACAAAGAAGGTTGCCAACAATCTAATCACCAAAGCCCTCATTTTACAGCAAAGAAGGCTGAACAAAATTAAACTAGGGCTGTGCTCTCAACAGTGCCATTAGGGTAATGATTAACAACTAATAGGCTCAGTGATTCACACTTACAGTCCTAGCGCTTGAGAGACTGAAGCAGGAAGGTTGAGAGTTCAAGGCCAGATTGAGCTAATTAGTGAGATCATGTCTCAAGCAACTAACCAAACAAAACTTAATGCTAATGGTGGGAAGCCAACTTTTAAAGCTGTTGTACCCAGACCCATGCAGCTTGATAGCCCCATCTGGAAGGGAGCATCCATCCATAGGACTCTAGGTAGCCTCGTGAATGAGTATTACTAAAACTTGATGACTTCTTCAGGACAGAAAGGTAACACAATTTGAATAGTTTCTACTATGTATCTTTCAAAGCAATTTTTATTACACTCATCTCACATTGTATACTGGGATTAAAGACAAAGGAAATAATATTACTGATGTACAAACTTTAAGGCTGGTCACTTCCTTCGATGAATTGTGTTGGGAGATTTTTTTTACCCCACTTACAGCATGAATCATCATCCTATACCATAGTTACTTACATAGCTAAGTCTGGTATTCTAAACACTGTGAATTACTTGAGACCATGATCTTCATTGATCTTCGGAGCCTCCTCTCTCTTCCTTATCTTTTACCTCAGCAGGAGGTCTTTAATAAACTTTTATTGATATATGAATGTTACTTTATTCTTTTTCTGAATTCTATTTGTGACATATATCAGTCCTAAAAGAGACATAATATTTCCCAAATCTCAAGAAAAATGTATAGTTAACATTTCAGTTTCCCTGAGTCATACATGCTAGGCTAATGAAGGTCTATAGTTAGTTGAATAGAACTCTCAGTTAATGTTATCTTCAGAAAAGACACTTAGATATTGGGTAGATAAACGCTTACTCCTATGAAGGCTAAATATTTTCAAATAACATGAAAAGGAATTTCTGGAAAACAATCTAAAGTAAAAGCTAGCAGGTAAAGACAGCTCAGCTTTTCATATTGAATGTTGTTTAAGTAGCAGTTCCATCTCTGTTCTCACAGAAGTATTGCAGCACTCCTTTTAAGGTGTTAGCATTCAAAGAATGTTAGAATGTGAAATCTTAAAAAAAAATGAAAAGAAATACTCCCTCCACACTGGTCCTCATTTACATAAAGAGATTGATTTCATTGGCATTTGTACTATTAGCTAGTGTCACCTATAGCTAAGCAAATGTAGACAAATTCTTCTAATTTTGAAAACACCAAGGGTAGATTGGTAGTGGTCATATATCCTTATTCTAAGATGGAAGCATAAGATTTGTTTCACTTTTCCATAATGCAAGGGAGAAAACAGGAGGAAAGGAAAAAAAGGCCATTATTGAGGGATTGGGAGGGCTGCTGAAGAGAGGCAGGCATCATGGAAGCTTTGAGGAAAAAACCAGGACTTTGTATAGAATTTGACAGGGGCAGAGCTAAAGGACCAGGGGGAATGATGTAGTGACAGCTGATTGGAGGAGCCTTTGCATATGTGCAAAAAGTGGGAGGTTTGACTTGTGGATCCAGGAGAAGAACTTAGGGAGGTGCTGTCCAGCACCAAAGAAACCCACACATGGAGAAAAACCTGTCAAGATTAACTTACTCTTGCAAAATTTTCAATGAATATTTGCTAAGTAACTGAACATGTTACTGTACAATTAGGCAATGTAGGATGTTTTATCAGCCATCCTTTTAAAACAAGTTCCAGTAATACCTCTAGACATATTTTGTACATTGATCAAAACACTATTTGTCATATTATTCATATTGTTGAGATTACACCTTAGGTAGCCAACATATTATACACATCACTTTATATTCCTATGCACTAATCATGCTATACTATGAGCAGCCCTCCTGTAAACACAAAGACTTACACTAACTACAAAGATATTTTGTTTCTTTAAATCTTAAAAATGTCATAAAACTGTAGCATGATAACTAAAAAGAGATAAAGATATGCCTAGTTTTATAATTAGTATCTGCTTATATCACTTGTATTCTAATTTCTTTTTCCTCTTTTAATTATTCTTTGAAGAAACAAATATCATTCTTGTCTCTATCCAGAATTTATCCTCAGCTGAAATATTATTCAGGTGTAGACTAACACCACAAAACTACTCACTAGGTTTGTGTCCCACTATTAACTTTTATTTATCGTTTGGTACATCTTAGGTCTTAATTCTGGATTTTAGGAAAAAAAAAAAAGTAAAGTCCCTCTTCTCTGAGATAAATGATCTGACCTTTTTCTCTCATGTCTTGGATTTACCTGACACCTGATCTGTAGTTAAAACAAGACAAAGAAAACAACACTGCAGACTGCTTGTAGCATGACTTTTATATGATGAATGTTCTCTCACTGAAGGGACATTTTAGGGATTTCATTGATCCTACTTTTCTTCATTAAAAGCTCAATTTCTAATTCCAGTCTGTTTAAGATTTGACTCCTCAGTACCTTCTGTTCCAGAGAACCAAATAGGAAAGAATAGTGTCATGGTTTATGTCTGTGTCCCCCAGGCCTCATGAGTTTGCATTGTGTATTTGTGATTGGTTCATTGTCTAGTGCTTGGATTGATGATGTCAGTGCTCCACCCATATAGGGGTGGAGGCAGGATGTGATGTAATGGCAGGAAGAAGGTGTGTCTTGCTCTTTGCTGGTTCCTGTTTGCTGTTTGCAGCCACCATGAACTGTGGCCCAGCCATGCCCTCCTGGCTTGGAGCCAACTGAGTGTGGACTGAAACCTCCCAAAACTGTAAGAAATAAACCTTTCCTTTCCCAACTTGGGCTTCAGGTATTTTGTCTCAGCAACGAGTAAAAAGTAACTAAGACAGAATTTGGTACCAAGAAGTGCGGTCATTTGCTGTGACCATATCTGACCATGTTTCTTGAGAGGCTTTGGAAATGGCTTGTGAACAGAGTTTGGAAAGGTTCAGACATGTTGCCTGAATACATAGAGCTGGAGCGGCTTAGGCTGTTCTGTAGAAGTGATTCTGGTCAGAGCTCAGGAGACCAGAAGGCTGATAGAAAGACCAGGCTTGGGAGGCTTCTGCTGGGAAGAAAGACTGCATTGGTTGTTGGACTCCACATGATGTATGTTATGGCTTGGTAGAAAGTTTGTCTGCATTTTGCTCCTGCCCAGAGACTTTGTCTAAGACTGAGACAAAGGGCAATGGGCTGATTAATCTTGAAAAAGAAATTAAAAAGCAATTGAACATTGAGGCTGTGGCATGGCTATTGTTGGGGGCTTTCAGCCAGCTTTATGTTTCAAATGAAGAGCAAAGAGCCCAGCAGGATAATTTGCAATACTGTGAGTTTGGCTAGAAGGAAAATGCCAGGAAGGCTATGGAATGTAAAGACAGAGTTGAGATTTTGATTACTGAGGAGAAACAGATAAGAAAGATGGCTCTGGGGCATCTCAGGAAGCAGGTCCCCACCCTCTGCAGCCTCACTGCAAAGGTGAAAGAATTTGCTCAGAGGGAAAAGCTGCAGAGCACCATGTTCCAGAATGTCAACAGAGGCCACATGAGTTTCCAGAATGGCAAGAGAGGGCACATGAGGTTCCAGAATGGTGGCAACATAGAGAAGCCTTTCCTCACAATCAGGTAAAAGAACCCTGTGATCCAGGCAACTGATCCCTATAGCCAAGAGAGAGAAAAGCCTGGCTACTGCTTCAGGTGGCAGCAGACCTTGGCAGCATCCACAAGGTGCTGATTTTAGTGCAAGGAAAATGCACAAATTCTGAGGGTAAGATGGCTTCCACCTTGATTGCAAAGGGCCTGGCTGGCCAAGCAGTATGCCCCTGAGAGGGAAATTTGTGAAGGTGTAAAGGTGAAGCCAAAGGTGTAGTGGAGACCCCAGAAGTTTAGAAAAGACAGGAATGTGGATGATCCAAGGAAAGCTGCCAAAAGAGAGCAGAGAGGATTTAAGAGAAAAGCTGCAGGAGCTGATATCCCTGCAAGTGCCATGGGAGTGGAATCACCCAAGCCTTTTGGAGCTTGTAACCAGATTGCTTCAGATGCTGAGCATGGAACTCTGGGACTTAATGTTTGTCCTGCATGCTGGACTTGCTTTGTTTCTAATGCTTTATATTCTCCTGTTTGTAACTTTTGGAATGGTAATGTTTATCTTGTGCCTTTGCATTTCAGAAATGTTTAACCTTGTTTCATTTGTACAGGAGGTTACAGTTAAGAGTTTACCATGGATCTTGGAGGAGACTTGGGACTTGGACTATTCAGCAATGCTGAAGCTGTTAGGACTTAGGCAACTCTTGGAGGTGGACTAAATGTCTTTTGTATAAAGGATGTACATGAGTCCTGGGGGCCAGGGGTGGAATGTCATGGCTTATGTCTGTGTCCCCCAGGCCTCATGAGTTTGCATTGTGTATTTGTGATTGGTTCATTGTCTAGTGCTTGGATCGATGGTGTCAGTGCTCCACCCACATAGGGGTGGAGGCAGGATGTGATGTAATGGGAGGAAGAAGGCATGTCTTGCTCTTTGCTGGTTCCTGTTTGCTGTTTGCAGCCACCATGAACTGTGGCCCAGCCATGCCCACCTGCCTTGGAGCCAACTGAGTGTGGACTGAAACCTCTCAAAACTATAAGAAATCAACCTTTCCTTTCCCAACTTGGACTTCAGGTATTTTGTCTCAGCAATGAGTAAAAAGTAACTAAGACAAATAGGAAAAATTGCTTAACTACATTACAAAGAATTTTCCTCTCATTTTCTTTCTCACCCTCCTGGAGGGCTGAGAATCCGGCACTTCCCCTGCTGCATGGCTGAAGCCCATGGTCGCTTCTGCAGCAGTTGTTCTGGTCAGTCTTTCAGACTATGGTTTTGATGGAGACTATGAGAGTTTACACTAGTAGAAAGGAAGTTTTCTTTGTTAATTATTGCCAGCAAAAAGGTCTGTTTTAAGGAATCTACCCAATGAGAGCTCTGTTTTCCTGGAAGTTACATAATCTAGCAGTTAAGAGATAGAGCACAGGATCTGTGAGTGTTAGGGGAAATATCACAAAATCACAGCATTCCATCTATTCAAATAGTTTTGTGGTGGTTTTACTCAATTCTCTCTGTTTTTAACTCTTTTGAAGGTCTTTGTGGTGGTTTTACTCAATTCTGTCTGTTTTTTAACTCTTTTGAAGGTCTTTAAAAGCTGTTTTAGAGCTTATGCATGAAAGGAAGATTATTGTTCTGTTCTTCAACTATTGTGATATGGATGTATTGCCACAGATTATAAAAATTAAGTCCTTTCTGCTAAGGAATTTCCTCAAAAAAATAAGAATAAAAACCTCTCATTACCTTGTAGAATATAATTTTCTGGAAAATCCTGGAAGACATTCAGTCAATATTTTTGTGTTATGGTATACACTAAATATTCTAGTTAGTGGAGTTTTTTTTTGTTGTTGTTTTGTTTGTTTTGTTTTTTTATACCTCCAGTGAAGGACCAGGTGGTAAGTTTTCAGGTTTTTCAGGTCCATACCATCTTTTTTGTTTGTTTGCATGTTTTTTTGTAGCTATTCAATTCTGTCCTAGTATGAGAACTGCCATAGACAACATGCAGATAAATGGGCTGTATTCCAGGCACACTGTCTTTGTGCAAACAAGTGGTGCACTGAATTTGGCTTGTGGGCTCACAGTTTACCAATTACTAAACTGCATATTGAGAGGGGGTAAAAGTCTTCATTTGTTGCTGTAGTTTTTTTTTTTTGTTGTTGTTGTTGTTTGTTTGTTTTGTTTTAACCAAAATAACCTACTGATCTGCCCACAGATGTAATCCCAATTCTTGGCCATAAACCTTAGTAAAATGGCATTCAAATGTATCTCAGTGGTCAATGTATAGCAATGTAAATCATGGTGAATGTATAGTGAATTTTCTCATGGCTAGGTCAAAACACCCAACACCTGTAATTTAAAGGAGGAAATGTCTGGGCCCATTGTGGTAGCAAACATCTCTAATCATAGCTAAGGAGAAGAAGGATTGCTGCAAGTTCTAGGCCAGCCTGGGCATAAAGCAAGAATCTAGAGGAAGAGAGAGCGAGAGACAGACAAACAGAGATAACAGAGACAAAAATTTTAAATAAGTATTTAAAAATAAAGGAGGAGAGATTTATTTGGCTCACATTTCAGCAGTATTAGTCCTTCAATGCTCAGCTGACTCCAAGGAAGGACATCTGAGCACTAGTGACAGAGGAAAAGTTGCCCACAGCATGGTGGCTAGAAAGCAGAGTGAAAGGAGAAGCTGGGAAGGAAGTGAGACCCTTTTAGGTCACACCCCCAGTGACCTGCCTCTTCCAATCAGGCTGAAACTCTTAACAGCAAACCAGCTATACATTTCCATAACCCAATCATCTTCCAATAGCCCTGTCTGTGAGTGCACCAAACTTGGAGGACATGTGGATATAAGCCATGGCATTTCACCCCTATCGCCTAAAAGCATCATGTGTGTCCAGTTATGTAAAATACATTTTGTCTATCTCTAAGAGTTGCCAAAGTACTGACAGTTTCAGCATTGCTGAAAGGTTCAAGTCCTACATCTCTGAAATTCAAAGAAAAGACTTACATGTAAGCCCTGTAAAAATAAAAGTTAAACATTTACATTGTACAGTGAAAAGTGTAAACATTTCCATTCCAAAAGGGAGGGATCGCGGGGGGGGGCAGAGAGGGGGTAGGTCAATCCTATAATTCCTTGTCCAGCACCCACAGTAAGTGGTGATGATATGTGAACTCTAAAGGGCTTGGACAACCTGCTCATACATCATTGCCAATGGTTGCATCATTGCCGATGGCTTACTTTTGGGCTGGTTTTGATCAGTCCATGTGACTTTCCTCATATGTTCCACATTGGACTTCTGCAACACCTTGTGCTCTCCAGTGCACTTGCAGCTTCTCTCTCACAGCTCAATGCATTGCTGTCTCAAGGGGCACGTTGCCTGGCTTCTGAGACCTTTTTTTGAAGTCTGGGTAGGAGCATTTTTGACCCCACAGCTCTCTTCTGCTCTGCGCGTCTATAAACCAGTACCATATGGATGAATGACATCAAGATCTGCCTCCAGATGGAGCAGCATCCAGGCTTCCTTGGATCATGACTGCAGGCTCTGTGAGTGCCTGGAGGGTTGACCACTACAAATGGAGTCCTGAGGAACAAATTCCATAGGTAGACTGTCTCCAGTATGGTGACCTGAGGCTCTCTTCTCAAATCAAAGTCTTTCACTTTTGGCATTTTAAACATGCAAGAGTGGCACATTACTGGCTCAGCTCATGGCCTTAAGCCCTTTTTCCTATTGTCTTGTTGTAAGGAACTTGGCTTCCTTTTTATGTTAATCATTTTAGTAAACAAAGTCTCCTCTAGTCCAACTTTACAGGCCCTAACTTTACTAGAGTTTCCCTTCTTCTCAAATTCAAAACTTTTTACATCATTCAGCTGTGCCATTTGCTCTTGATTTTCAGTGTAGAGTTGGCTAAAGGTCCCCAACAGTACCCATGCCCAATAGATAGTCTTGAAATTCTCTCCACTACATTTATTAGTTCATTGTTGTTTATCTGACTCTCCTACGAGGTCTGGACATTGGCAAAATGTAGTCAAACTTTCTACCAGACCATAATATGCATGGTTTTCAGTCCAATTGCAAATAGAATACTTGTTCCAAATGGAAGCCTCCTGAGCCTGGTCTTTATCATCTGCATTTCTAGGAACTCCAAGAAGAATCTCTCATCAAGCTTGGTTTATAGCATTTTAGGGCTATTTCTACAGCTGCATCTCAAAATCATTCCAAATTCCTCCCATGTACAGTTCCAAAGAGGCTTCTGAACCACACGATTAGGTGTAGTCCAAACAACAGCACCACTTTCCTGGTATCAAAATTTGTCTGGTCTCTTTCCTTGTCACTGAAATATGATACTCAACACCTGAAAAATAAAGGAAGGAGGAGCTTATTTTGGCTCACTGTTTGTATAGGTTTCATTCAGTCTACTGGCTCCAAAGCAAGGTGGTATGGCACAGGGGCATGATAGGGGAAAAGTCACTTCAAATTTTATATAATGTATAAAATACTGATTTAGATGTTATTACACAAATAATATTACTTCTTAACAGTTAAGGTATCCACCATGCTTTATCATACTTCTCTTTGTATTTATTTGTAATTGTTGCTTATGAATTAGGGTTATATAATATAATATACAAGGATACAATCATCATATGTCATATGGCTTGAAAATAATTTATCAATTTGTGATTAGTCCTTGATTTGCTTATGCTTTTCAGTTGAGATCTTTAAAGTATTTCTGTTTTGAATTTATTGATATCTTCCTTAGTAGGTTTCCTTTGCAGGTGTCATGCCACAATAGGAAGATACCTCATACTCCAAGCTTTGTGTGACTAGGGCTTTCTTCTTGCATTTTTATGGCTGCATGTGGCTTGCCTTTCAAGAGACAATGAGAGCCAGAAATTCAAGTGATGAGATAGCCACTGAAGTTTCTGAATAAAGAGCAAGAAGTCTGTGAGAACTCTCGTGAGAAGGAAGACCCTCCTCTACCAGGAAAGGAGCCAAGAAACTTGAAAATGAACTGAGGAGGTGAAAACTTGCAAAGCTGCAAATAACCTCTACATAGGTAAAAACAGCAAGACACCTCTGGAAAAAGGAAGTCAGGTGTGGGTTTAAGAATCTGAGTGGAAATGAAGTTGTTTCTAGCAGTGACTATGCAGCACACAGCATGATAAGCTGGGCTGCTAAATTTGGGTCATATAAATTTGTGAAGATATCAATTCAGCTTTATTTTTATTAAGATTATATTCATAATTTCCCTTAAGGATGTCAAATCAGATTCTGCTGAAATTTCTGAAGACTTTCTCAGCACATATATAATTATAAAATGAACTATATATCCCTCATCTGCCCATATCCTTAGTGAAGACACACATTCACCTGTAATTAAAAATTTCATTACTAATGGGAAATTGAGTGAACTCAGTAAAACTGTCTTACTTATGTAGTCTCTTGAGTTTCCATTTGTATTGCATGCTAAATTATGATAAAACTTTAACCACTTGAACTCTCAAGGAACAGGTTATTCTGAGTAGTTGAATATTTGTCCACAAAATATTTCTGCTGTCCAAGGTGTTCTTTCACAATAAGAAGAATATTTATATTTTTTCATTATATATTCAGTATGATTTTATTAAGAAAGCAGCAAAAAAGTAAAAATAAATTATCTGAACACAAAATCTTAACATTTGGTTAACAGTCTTTTTGTCTTGTTAAAATAACAGAGTTATTTTATGTGTTACACCAAGCCAATTTTCTCATGACTCTCTTAATTTACAGCTCAATTTAGGCTTCAGGTATTCTATAATCTGCTGGCTAGGACCAAATACCTATTTGGTGAACAATTTCTCTCTTGATAGAAATTTTTATTATCTCTTACATTAAAGTTGTTGCAGTGCTGTTGCAGTCAAAAGTTGCTCAAGAAGTTGCTCCACTGATAAAGTTCCTGATGGCAGGCTGGCTTGGGGCTGGGAGCTGGTTTGTCCTGAACATGGGATAAAGCATGTTTGGGTCCATGGTTTCTGAGGAGCAGAACATGGCCACCTGTCAGCACAATCAACTAGTGAGCCAGGCTTTAGCTGTGCTCTCTCAAATGGTTTTGTCATTCTCCAGAAATCCTCTCCCTCCCTTCTGCAAACAGTGCCTTTTGATGTGTCAGTACCGGTCAGAGCACGGGCCCTGACTTCTACCCCATTAACACATTTTTACTAACACAGTTCTACTTTCTTTGTCTCTCTGCAGCCAACCTTCTATTTTCTCTATTTATCCAGAGGCTAAAAAGAAAACTGCCCTTTCCCCTTTCCCCAGTGTATCCGAGTATGTAAGATTTATTCTCAAGCCCAAAAAAGTCTTTATTAAAATAAAAGATACTTTTGCTGACATGGTTTCAGACCCAAATTTTTGCTGAACTGTAAATTTTAGAGTTTGATTTGGATAGAATACCAGGCATAAGCAATATTTAAAATTAGGTATTTACTGTAAGGATGGAATGAGAATTCCTGAATATTATGTGCCTGATAAGTGTAGTTTCTCATTAAACCTCACATGCAGTAAAATGTCCTATCTTGAATAACACTTTTTCTATAAGCTGACTCAGGGAGTTAATATTTGGTGGCTGGCAGATTGAGATACTGTTCACAGATACCACCCCTTTCCTCCGAGTGAGCAGAATAATTGTGTAGAAAGGGGATAGTTTTGTTACCCTCAGATAATCCTGTGGTCCTGAAAATATTCTTTATTCAATGTAAACCAAAGTGGAGGGAGGAGGTTGAAGATGACAGTAGAAGCTGTCTGACTTTCCTGGCGTTACTCGCAGGCAGGTACGGTGGAGCACATCCATAATCCTAGCAGCTCAGAAGCTGAGGCAAGAAGATCACAAGTTAGAGCTCCATCTCGGCAAGACAGCAAGGCTCTTTCTAAAAATTAAAAAAAAAGACTGAGGATCTGGCACAGTAGTAAAGCACTCCAGGGTTTAAACCCCAGTATCAAAACAAACAGCAATATAAATCAAGCATTACGATCTGTAAGCAACAGGTTCCAGGGCCACGTAATTTCCCAAATATTAAACTTTCAAGCTATTCTTACTGTGTTTAATCCGATAAGATTTTACTAGTATATAAAGCTACAAGTTAAACCAGACCCACTTTATATGACTTTTGTGTGTCAGGAATTATAGCTTGAGCCTAAGCTGCTTTCACCCTAAAATGCAAGCCGAGCAGTGAAGGAAGGGCTGGGACATGTAAATCAATCCAGGAGATGCACTGTTCTGTAGGGGTCCAGTCAGCACTGGTGAGGTAAAAGAACATGTGGGGAAGCTCAGAAGTGTGATTCAAAGATAGCAGAAAGCATCTAAGAAAAAGAAAATGTCTGTTCAATGCAGAGATTATATTTAGATGGCTTGGAATTGCCATAATGATGTACATTGGAGAAAGTTCCTCAGCCCTTAGAATCAAGGTATGGACCACATTGGGACCCACATCTTCCACCCTTGATGCCAGAGTCTGCAGCTACCTCTTGCTGAGGCTCTGAGACAGATTGCCACAGCAACAAGCAATCATTTACATCAGCAGCACTAACAGTCTCTTTGGACACTGGCAGCTTCGACAAACATCCCAATATAATGAGCTGATCCCGGAGTAAAAGCAATTCCTAGAGGCAGGCAGGAAAACGGGGCAGGGGAAGAGCAAGGGAGACAACTCTAACGCCTCAGGGGCTGTGTGGGGAGTCAAGGTGGTCCAACTTTGGCTTCCAGCAGCGTAGAGATTAAGCAAATGTCACTTTATCCTTCAGGCAGCGGTATAAGGAATTAAGATGCAAAGGAAGTTGTTTAAACATATTTTTCAATAAGCAGCTAAAGTTTTCTAACATCCCATTTTGTTCCTGTTAGATTTGATGACTTTACTTTCAATATCCTCTAAATTTACCTTAAACTGAAAGGATTAGAAATGCTTATAGCTCCACTAAACAGGAAACACAACCAAAGGGATATGGAATCAAACAAATTAGGGTTTATTTTCTACATAAAACACAACACAACACAACACACACACACACACACACACACAGACACACACACACACACACACCCGTCTGTGTTGAGTGCTTCTGACTTTAATAGCTCAGTGTAGAGAAAGGCTATCCCAGGAAGTAGTTAGCTTTAGTGGCAGAACAGTGGTGAGCTCTAAGAGCTGGATTGGAGGGCCTGCCACGTTGCCATGCTCTCTCTTTCCACCTTTCCCTATTCCCTGCTGTGGCCCTTCTCTTCTGCATTGCTGGGATTTGAATCCAGGACCTCACACATACTGGCTAAGTGCTTCACCCTGAGCTACATCTCCAGCACTTCTTATTTCTTATTTTGATTATTGTCCAGGTCAACCTCAAACTTGAACCTTTAATCCACCTGTCTCAGCCTTGTCAGGGACAGGAATTATAGATGTGGATCACCATGCTCAGTCATTCTCTTATCTTTATATTGAAAATTGCATTTAAAGTGACATTTGTTTTCAAGTTTAATTGTGTGCATGTTGAAAAGTTTTATATAATCTACTTTGGTTTACACAAATCGCAAAAATTTAACTGTCTCTCTTGAACAATTATATATATATATATATATATATATATATATATATATATATATTCCTACAACTCATTTGAAGGAACACAGTGGACTTTCAGACTGATAAAATTGGTTTTAAAATTTGAATTTTAAGAAAGCTTAGATAACTTAGTTCATTTCTTTGACCGCCTGACTCCAAGAGAACCAACCCCACCTACCCCATCTCCCAGCATCTACATCTTCAGGTGATTTATACCCTGGGGTGGTCCTCAGCTATGGGAAGTCAAGGTTGGTCTGAATGATCAGTGAAACATCACAAGAGGGAGAGAATGTCATTTCCTGGATTAAATTGGAAAATCCAAAGATTCTGTCTCTCTTGAGTTTTCCATCTTGGACATTTAAGCAACTCTATGGAGGGGACCATGTAAAAGAGAGTCTTGTCCCAAATATGGAGAGTAGCTGGGACTTGGTAGCAACCAGGACATTTAACTGGAAGCTGGTCCTTCAGAATGAAGATGACCACCATCCTAGACAATAGCCAACGCAGCCTTGCCCAGAACCACCCAACTAAGCTGCTCCTCTAGTCCTGGGCTTCAGGATCTGTGTGAGAGAAAGTTTTTCTTTTTCTTTTTTAATCAGATAACATTTTGAGTAACCTGCTAAACAACAATGTATAATTATTATACTTTCTTTAAATTAGAACTTCCCAAGGAAGAACTGGGCATTTGAGAGTTAATAAGATAACATGTGAAACTATCCAATGGAATTTCTGCAACATAATTATATAGAAATTGTTAATTTGACAAGTAATATTTGTTCCTGATCATTTTCATATGTTTATCCTCATCAGAACTGTTGTTTAATTCTAATATAGTTTAAAAATATCTTTGTCAGCCAGACTTGATAATTCCTGCTTCCCAGCACCCTGGGAAGCTGAGGCAGGAAGATTGGAAGTTTAAGCCCAACCTGGGAAATTTAGCAAGATCTTGTCTCAAAATTGAAAATAATTTTGTTTTTTAAAGGGCTAGGAATGTAGCTCAGTGTGAAGATCCTGAGTTCAATTCCCCAGGACCACAAACAAACAAGTAGACATCTTTGCTTTTAGTGTCTCATCAGTGTAGAATGCATGCCATTCAGCAGCTGAATCTGTGGCATTACCTTGCTGTGCCTACTGTCTTGCTGATGGTTTTGTTCACTATACTCACTGTGTTTAGTAATACTGTCTTACCCGGAATGTCGAATGGTGGTATCTGATGTGTCTTTAATAGACTGCTGACTGATAAAATATTGCCCTACTATTGATGTAAATAACTCTTGTCTTTCACCAGAAAGCCTGGGTGATTTTAATATGCCTCACTAAGGAAATGTGCCTCTCCTACTAAATCACTGACACAGGGAGTATGTGGTGAAGCTGACCGTCTACCACACATTCTGCAACCTTCTCCAGTCTGATTTCTCTGTCTCTAGTCCTTTGCTCCTTTCCACTGCCCTATACACCTCAGATCACAGGTTCTAGGAAGAGACTTGCTATCTTTTTCTTTTTTATACAGCCTCAGATCATCTCTGCCATTTTCTCCCTTAAAAAATTACTTTCCTATTTTTTGTTTTATGCCATTTGTGTATCTCAATGTCTTTATGCCTAAAAAGAGTGCATGAATATATAAATACATACATCCACACATGAATTAATTTATGAGTGTGTATCCCATTCAGTTGCAATATCATTCTTTTTTCACTTGACCAACACAGCATGCTGGAGTAACTTTGATTCACTGAACACAATTCTCTGAAAACAATCATTTGTGTCTGAATACTCAGAGCTAACTTCTTTGTCCCTAGACAGGACAGTTTTTGTTGCTGTTGCTGTTGGATATATACATTTTTCTGCCTCTGCAGTAGTTCTTAAAATTTCAAGACAGTACTGGTTTCCTGACAGCAGAGGTTTCCCCATGGTATTATTTATGAATCATTTCCTCTCTCATTACTGTTGATCAGTCCAGCTTCCTAACTGGACTTAGTCTGCAGTCTTGCTCTCCTCCCTGGACAGTCAGTCCCCTACAATACCAGTGGATAGGGCTCACTGTAAAAATGAAAAACAAAACTGAGAAACGAGTAAATTACAATATGGATGACTTTTAAAGACATAATGTTGAGTGAAAGAAAATAGACATAGTAGAACACATTCTATTTATACAATCCTTATAAAAGGCAAAATCTTTTTCTAGGCATGTGTAATTAGAGAGTAGATGCTCAAGGGAATCAAAAAATAATGGTTAGCACTGGGTGGTGGTTGGGGAGAACTGTAAGTTGAGCTGTTTTACAGAAGAAAGTTTGGGGCAGGAGAATCTACATAATTTGTGGGGCCCAATGCCAAACGAAAGTTCTGGATCCCTCGTTTAAAAATTGTTGCTGTTATTTTGAGACAGAATCTCACTGTGTATCTTAGGCTGGCCTCAAATTCATGGAAATCCTCCTGTGTGGCCTCCTGAGTACTGGGATTATTGGCATATGCCCCATGCCCAACTCACAAATTACTATTAACTTCAAGATGCCCGCAGCAGAGCACGATTCCAAGCGAGGATCCTCCTGGGCAGCACCGTCTGTGCAGATGCTCAGGGTGCATATCCTTGGTGTCAGCCTTGGTTTTAGAACTTCAAGTGTTTTGCTCATGCTTTACTTTTTAGCTAGGGAGAAGATGAGTCATACATATATTTGTTTCAGAAAATTTCTGAAGTTGCATGTTAAAGATAAATGCACATTGTCGAGAGTTTTTTTGTATCTTATAATTCCCTTTTTTAAAAAAAAAGTGTGAAATGAAACAACCAAACAGAACTGATCAGAATACTTCCTGCTCAGAACTCACAATGGTTTCTCATAGATTAAAATGCTTTCCTTTGGACTTTCATCTGTTGCAAGCCCAGTTCAAATGCCAGCTCATCTATGAAACATCCTGGATTTCTTCCCCTGAAATCAACCATTTCCTCCCTGTCATCTGTAGGACCTTAAAGGAACTTAGATGATTATTAAATGTAACCGAATTTTTATCAAATATTTTACAACCTTTATAAAACCTAAAACATTCAAAATTCTTACACATTATAAGTCCTTGAATTATGCAATGATGCTAGGTAACAATGGTAAAAATTCCTATGCAGACTAAGACATGTTTGTTTTCCTGGTTAAAATTGAAATAGGCACCAAGTATTTTACAATATTATTCAGAGCTTTTCTGTTTTGCAGATGAGTAAAACTCATAATGATCTTTCTTAAAAATGCTTAACATAAAAAAAAAATAGCCAGGGATATAGCTCAGTGGCACAGTGCCTGCCTGGCAAGCACAAGTTCATGAGTTTAAAGTCCAGTACCACACACACACACAAAAAAAATGCTTAACATCGTAAATGTAATGTGCTGGGATTATTTGATGTCATAAAAACCGTAGATTCCATTTTCACCAGAAACACATTTTAAAACAACAT